TTATCATGATATGATAAGAGGATTGCTGGACTGTTATCTATATAAAGATGCTAATTTCATCTTTAGATATCATATTATAAGCGATTATCATCATAATCACAAGAATTATCATGATATGATAAAGGATTGCTGGACTGTTATCTATATAAAGATGCTAATTTCATTTTAGATATCATATTATAAGCGATTATCATGATAATCACAAGAATTATCATGATATGATAAGAGGATTGCTGGGCTGTTATCTATATAAAGATGCTAATTTCATCTTTAGATATCATATTATAAGCGATTATCATCATAATCACAAGAATTATCATGATATGATAAGAGGATTGCTGGACTGTTATCTATATAAAGATGCTAATTTCATCTTTAGATATCATATTATAAGCGATTATCATGATAATCACAAGAATTATCATGATATGATAAGAGGATTGCTGGACTGTTATCTATATAAAGATGCTAATTTCATCTTTAGATATCATATTATAAGAATTATCATGATAATCACAAAATTATCATGATATGATAAGAGGATTGCTGGACTGTTATCTATATAAAGATGCTAATTTCATCTTTAGATATCATATTATAAGCGATTATCATGATAATCACAAGAATTATCATGATATGATAAGAGGATTGCTGGACTGTTATCTATATAAAGATGCTAATTTCATCTTTAGATATCATATTATAAGCGATTATCATCATAATCACAAGAATTATCATGATATGATAAGAGGATTGCTGGACTGTTATCTATATAAAGATGCTAATTTCATCTTTAGATATCATATTATAAGCGATTATCATCATAATCACAAAATTATCATGATATGATAAGAGGATTGCTGGACTGTTATCTATATAAAGATGCTAATTTCATCTTTAGATATCATATTATAAGCGATTATCATCATAATCACAAGAATTATCATGATATGATAAGAGGATTGCTGGACTGTTATCTATATAAAGATGCTAATTTCATCTTTAGATATCATATTATAAGCGATTATCATCATAATCACAAGAATTATCATGATATGATAAGAGGATTGCTGGACTGTTATCTATATAAAGATGCTATTTCATCTTTAGATATCATATTATAAGCGATTATCATCATAATCACAAAATTATCATGATATGATAAGAGGATTGCTGGACTGTTATCTATATAAAGATGCTAATTTCATCTTTAGATATCATATTATAAGCGATTATCATGATAATCACAAGAATTATCATGATATGATAAGAGGATTGCTGGACTGTTATCTATATAAAGATGCTAATTTCATCTTTAGATATCATATTATAAGCGATTATCATGATAATCACAAGAATTATCATGATATGATAAGGATTGCTGGACTGTTATCTATATAAAGATGCTAATTTCATCTTTAGATATCATATTATAAGCGATTATCATCATAATCACAAGAATTATCATGATATGATAAGAGATTGCTGGACTGTTATCTATATAAAGATGCTAATTTCATCTTTAGATATCATATTATAAGCGATTATCATCATAATCACAAGAATTATCATGATATGATAAGAGGATTGCTGGACTGTTATCTATATAAAGATGCTAATTTCATCTTTAGATATCATATTATAAGCGATTATCATGATAATCACAAGAATTATCATGATATGATAAAGGATTGCTGGACTGTTATCTATATAAAGATGCTAATTTCATCTTTAGATATCATATTATAAGCGATTATCATCATAATCACAAGAATTATCATGATATGATAAGAGGATTGCTGGACTGTTATCTATAAAGATGCTAATTTCATCTTTAGATATCATATTATAAGCGATTATCATCATAATCACAAGAATTATCATGATATGATAAGAGGATTGCTGGACTGTTATCTATATAAAGATGCTAATTTCATCTTTAGATATCATATTATAAGCGATTATCATGATAATCACAAGAATTATCATGATATGATAAGAGGATTGCTGGACTGTTATCTATATAAAGATGCTAATTTCATCTTTAGATATCATATTATAAGCGATTATCATCATAATCACAAGAATTATCATGATATGATAAGAGGATTGCTGGACTGTTATCTATATAAAGATGCTAATTTCATCTTTAGATATCATATTATAAGCGATTATCATGATAATCACAAGAATTATCATGATATGATAAGAGGATTGCTGGACTGTTATCTATATAAAGATGCTAATTTCATCTTTAGATATCATATTATAAGCGATTATCATCATAATCACAAGAATTATCATGATATGATAAGAGGATTGCTGGACTGTTATCTATATAAAGATGCTAATTTCATCTTTAGATATCATATTATAAGCGATTATCATCATAATCACAAGAATTATCATGATATGATAAGAGGATTGCTGGACTGTTATCTATATAAAGATGCTAATTTCATCTTTAGATATCATATTATAAGCGATTATCATGATAATCACAAGAATTATCATGATATGATAAGAGGATTGCTGGACTGTTATCTATATAAAGATGCTAATTTCATCTTTAGATATCATTATAAGCGATTATCATGATAATCACAAGAATTATCATGATATGATAAGAGAATTGCTGGACTGTTATCTATATAAAGATGCTAATTTCATCTTTAGATATCATATTATAAGCGATTATCATCATAATCACAAGAATTATCATGATATGATAAGAGGATTGCTGGACTGTTATCTATATAAAGATGCTAATTTCATCTTTAGATATCATATTATAAGCGATTATCATGATAATCACAAGAATTATCATGATATGATAAGAGGATTGCTGGACTGTTATCTATATAAAGATGCTAATTTCATCTTTAGATATCATATTATAAGCGATTATCATGATAATCACAAGAATTATCATGATATGATAAGAGGATTGCTGGACTGTTATCTATATAAAGATGCTAATTTCATCTTTAGATATCATATTATAAGCGATTATCATGATAATCACAAGAATTATCATGATATGATAAGAGGATTGCTGGACTGTTATCTATATAAAGATGCTAATTTCATCTTTAGATATCATATTATAAGCGATTATCATCATAATCACAAGAATTATCATGATATGATAAGAGGATTGCTGGACTGTTATCTATATAAAGATGCTAATTTCATCTTTAGATATCACATTATAAGCGATTATCATGATAATCACAAGAATTATCATGATATGAAAGAGGATTGCTGGACTGTTATCTATATAAAGATGCTAATTTCATCTTTAGATATCATATTATAAGCGATTATCATGATAATCACAAGAATTATCATGATATGAAAGAGAATTGCTGGACTGTTATCTATATAAAGATGCTAATTTCATCTTTAGATATCATATTATAAGCGATTATCATGATAATCACAAGAATTATCATGATATGATAAGAGGATTGCTGGACTGTTATCTATATAAAGATGCTAATTTCATCTTTAGATATCATATTATAAGCGATTATCATGATAATCACAAGAATTATCATGATATGATAAGAGATTGCTGGACTGTTATCTATATAAAGATGCTAATTTCATCTTTAGATATCATATTATAAGCGATTATCATGATAATCACAAGAATTATCATGATATGAAAGAGAATTGCTGGACTGTTATCTATATAAAGATGCTAATTTCATCTTTAGATATCATATTATAAGCGATTATCATGATAATCACAAGAATTATCATGATATGAAAGAGAATTGCTGGACTGTTATCTATATAAAGATGCTAATTTCATCTTTAGATATCATATTATAAGCGATTATCATGATAATCACAAGAATTATCATGATATGAAAGAGAATTGCTGGACTGTTATCTATATAAAGATGCTAATTTCATCTTTAGATATCATATTATAAGCGATTATCATGATAATCACAAGAATTATCATGATATGAAAGAGGATTGCTGGACTGTTATCTATATAAAGATGCTAATTTCATCTTTAGATATCACATTATAAGCGATTATCATGATAATCACAAGAATTATCATGATATGATCAAGAGAATTGCTGGACTGTTATCTATATAAAGATGCTAATTTCATCTTTAGATATCATATTATAAGCGATTATCATGATAATCACAAGAATTATCATGATATGAAAGAGAATTGCTGGACTGTTATCTATATAAAGATGCTAATTTCATCTTTAGATATCATATTATAAGCGATTATCATGATAATCACAAGAATTATCATGATATGATAAGAGGATTGCTGGACTGTTATCTATATAAAGATGCTAATTTCATCTTTAGATATCATATTATAAGCGATTATCATGATAATCACAAGAATTATCATGATATGAAAGAGAATTGCTGGACTGTTATCTATATAAAGATGCTAATTTCATTAGGTATTTCAGTAGCAATTACTGCTGAGTTAATATTGTTATTGTAAAAATCATTGTTGTAATCGTAATAATTCTTTTTGAAATTGGAAAAAATTTAAGATAATTGTTATTGATGCATTTATCATTTAATTTGATAATTAATGTATTAATATGGTTAATCATTAATTTATCATACATATTATGAGGAATCATACTTCAGTATTACCTAATTCTTTTTTTCTCAATTTATTCAGAAAGAATTTCATCTATAAAATCATGAAAAACACTTATAACTGTCAAAATTGTAATTAATTTTAATAATTATAAACAATTATATTATTACATGATTTTATAGCGATAATGATTTAACTATGATTGCATAATTATTTCCTCAATTATATGAATAATAATAAATGGTAATAATTGATATGCAAATGTATTTTTGACAATAAATAATTTAATTAAACAAATGCAAAAAAAGCTGTTTAATTCAAAAGGTATTTAAATTGAAATTTAACAGTTATTGTTAAAATAATCAGTAGTTATTTACTTGATTTGTAAACAGGACGATAATATGTTTTTTCGAGAGCTATCACCAAATCATTCAATTCGGTTTATCATAATGAAAAATTTTTTTGGAAAAAAAAAAGCGATGATAAGATAATTAAATCAATAGAAAATAAAATAATCAAAAAAACAAAGGAATGTAAAATGCGTATTATTTATAAAGCATAAAAAAATAAATTTAAAATAATTTTTCAAAATTATTATTGATATATTATACCATTATTGATAATTCACCATTAAAAAAAAATGGTAACAGAAATTAATATTTTAATTATTTTAAAAAACAAAAAAACATTTCATATAAGTATTTTATTTGTTGTTACTATCATATATCATTTCAAGTGTTATAAATATTTCATTTATCATTATTATTATTACTGTTGTTATTAGCATTATTACTGTTATTCATTATTATTATTATTCGTTATTATTACTATTATTATTATTATTATTATTCATTGTTATTATTATTATTCATTATTATTATTATTATTACTATTATTCCTATTGTTATTGCTATTATTACCCATTATATTAGTACTATCATTGTTGTTATCATTATTATCATTATTACTATTTATTATTATTATTTATTATTGTTGCTATTAAGCATTTCAAGTGTTAAAAATATTTTATTACACTTATAATTTGACAAAACTATTTTATCATTTGTGATATCATTTAGAAATGACAGAAATACAGCATCGAACTGCTGTTGCTTTATGTCACCATCAGGTCGTTATGCTGTATGCATTAGTCGTATTGAAGTATTCGATTCTCGACCAATTGAAACTCACTTTTATAATTATAATTTTACTATTTCTGATTTTATACTTGATACTACAATACAATATATCTCAACATGTGGTCCTTTTAAAGTATTAACTTTCGCTTTTTTTTTTTTTACATATTTTAAAACAGTTAATATATAGTAGTAATTCCTTAATTTAAAATTATAATTGTTTGAAAATATTTTCTTTTTTTTTTTTGTGTTGATTTTTAAATCATAAATGTAAATAGAAATTTTAAAATTTAAAAGAAAATTTCATCGAATGATTGATATCAAATTTTATTGATTGATACTTTCATAGAAAAAAATTTTTTTAATTGATTGATATAAAAAAAAAAAAAAAACAAATTTGTAACCTTTAATATATTTATTTCACACTAAATAGAAATTGGAGAATTTTGATCATATTTCAAAGTGAATAAGATAAAATTATGAATGAGTATTAATGGAGCATATGTTTCAGATGTAAACAAAATAAACAAACGTATATACATAAACAAACAAGCAAATAAATAAACAAAAAAAAAAAAAAATAAAAATTATACAATGAATGGAATTAAAATAAAATTCATTTGCAGAGATTTCATCGTTTTTATTTTTTAAATGATACAACCGGAATACTTGTTGATTTTTCACGTAATAATGGTACCATAACACAAAATGTCATACAATTTTCACACGTGAATCATACGGTAACGTGTGAATACGGTCGTATTTGGTATTTTGACGTTGATGATATGTTGTATGAGACGGATGACACAAATATAATTTGTACAACAGAATTAATGAATTATAAAAATATCAGTAAAGTTTTAGTAAATATTAACAAAAATTAAAATATTAATAGCGAAAAAAAAATATTTTTTATTGATAGATATTTTGATAGAATTAGAATTAGAAAAAAAAAATCGTAATTATTAGTTTATTTCTTATAAATGATAAATTCGAGTACAACTGAAAACGACTACTTTTTTTTGTATATATTATAACTTATTAAATTAAAACAGAATAAATATTTTCTACATCTAAAAATGAATAACGTTTTTTTTCCAATATATTATAATTAAAAGAAAATCTGCAACATTTAACCATTGATATATTCATTTTCTTATTAAATTTTTTGTTACAAATAATATATATATAAGTTATTATACAAAATCAATTATTGTAAGAAATATTATACTTATAAATATTATCATAAATATTATAAAATTATGATTATCCTTGTTAAAAAGATAATTTAAGTCAGATTAATTTAAAGTTAATTATGCAAATGAGATTAATTTAATGTTTTTACTTTTATAAAGTTAATAATTTAAATGAGATTAATGTTTTTACTTTTATAAAGTTAATAATTTAAATGAGATTAATGTTTTTACTTTTATAAAGTTAATAATTTAAATGAGATTAATGTTTTTACTTTTATAAAGTTAATAATTTAAATGAGATTAATGTTTTTACTTTTATAAAGTTAATAATTGAAATGAGATTAATTTAATTTTTTTACTTTTATAAAGTTAATAATTTAAGTGAGATTAATGTTTTTACTTTTATAAAGTTAATAATTTAAATGAGATTAATGTTTTTTACTTTTATAAAGTTAATAATTTAAATGAGATTAATGTTTTTTACTTTTATAAAGTTAATAATTTAAATGAGATTAATTTAATATTATAATTAATTTTCGTCTCTCTCTCTCTCTCTTTTTTTTTAGCTTATTTACCATTACTTGGTGAAAAAGATTATTTATCAGAAATATTTATTCGATTAATACCAGCAAATCCATTTCATACAAATAATTTTACTATACCAATGCTAGAAATTAATGAACAAAATGCATTTAAAAATAAAATACAAATAAATATTGGCGAATTATTTGATGCAACAGAGTTATGCATCGATACATTTTGTTATCCATTAATTAATGAAACATCGTTGTATTTCATCGTACGACTTCGAACGGTTCTCTTAATTAATTAATTAATTAATTAATTGTTTTATTTATTAATTTTTAATTAATTTATTTAAGAGATTTTTTTGCTGTTTTTTTTTTTTATATAATAAAAAAAAAAACTATTTTTTTTGTATGTGTCACTATCTTCATTATATTAATTTTTCCTTTTTTGTTTTTTTTATTTTTCAAAATTTCATCTTTTCAATATTTATAAAATTTTTCTTAGCAATTTTTTTCTTTTTACAATAATCAATAATAAAATTAATTAATTCGACATAAAAATTTAATTAGACCAAAATATTTTTAATTGATCATAAAATTAATAAAAATTATCAATGTTACTACTTCATTTAATTTCATTCATTTCATTTATTTAAAAAACTTTATAAAAACATACATCGTAGGATTATATAAGAATGAATTTAAAAAAAAAAATTAAAAATCAAATAATACTCACTTCTTGCCCTGATTTCTTACTTACCCATTTATATGGGTAAAATTTTTTTCATTCCTTTTCTTTTATTGATTAAAATTTTTCTTTTTTTCTTTACTAAGAAATCATTTTTTACTAATATTTCACTCATATTTATTTATATAAAATTTTAAAAGCTATCAAATTAAATTTAATTCATGTAAAATATTTTAATAACAAAATAATTAAAAAATATTGGTAATATTTTTTTGATATTTTTTCATTAATTATTTTTTATATAATAGCAATATCTTTATGTAATAATACATACAAATATTGATAAAATATTTTTTTTTTTTTTTTATTTGATTATAAATAATTTTTATAATATTTATGCATAATTGTTTACATAAATATATATTATTTTTTTTTTCAGAATCCTCAAAATGATAGACAAACTTGCATTGCTATGCTAAAATTTGATTTTAAAAATTATTTCGAAAATAATTTTTCATCAACAGCAAAAATTATCAGTAATCTTTTACCATTACAATGGAAATTAACATTAGCTGAAAATTTTTCTTTACGACCAAATTATGTTCGAATTATGGCACAGCAAGGACCAATCGTACTTCTACGAACATTTATTTTTGCATCAGAACGAATATGGATTTTAATTAATTTAAATACAATGATAATGAGTCCATCAAATTTTGAAAATAAAGCTAGGTATGAATTTTCTTCATTTTTTTTTTTATTAAAATTAATGATTTAATTTTTATTAGTTGAATATGATGAATGATTAATAGGAAAAAAAAATGAATATTAATTGGAAGATAAAAAAATTACAATCATTAATAATAAAATTAATTAAACAAAAAATAAAAGATATTAATAAGAAAAAATAGTTATAATAGAAAAATAGTTACAATAAATATTATTAATTAGTTAAAAAAAGAGAAAAGAGAAAAAAAAAGATAAAATAAAAAAAATTTTATTTTATTTTATCATAATCCCTTTTTTTTTTCAATCAATTTTATTTCTTATTTCTTTTTTCTTTATTTTTTAAAGTATACTTTTTTAGTGGTAATTGTGTAATGATGAATGGAAATCGTTTCATTTTTCACACACATCGAAATACAATAGTTACTGATTATAATATCATTTCGAATTATTATTTGGTACCAAAACTTAAATATTTAACATTTTGGAAAATAATTGATATGGTGAAAAAATCACGAACTGAAGAATGTTGGAATTTACATTTGACATTTTATAAATTTTGTACCACTTGTTCCACTCTCGAAATGATCACACAATTATTATATTATTCTTCTGATACTGCATAATTTACCTCTCTCTCCCTCTCCTTCTCTCTCTCTTTGTTTAATTTTAATTCGAAAATTTTAATTGTTAATTAAAATTATGATAATTATTACCATATGCAAATTATACATAATTTTCTTCCTTCTATTGGAATTCCAAAAGTTTTAATTATTAATTTATCTATGGTAATTGTTACAATATGCAAATTATGTATAATTTCCCTCTTTTCCTTTCTCTCCCTCTCCCTCTCCCTCTCTCTCTCTCTTTGCAATGTATAAACTTAATAGAAATAATTATTGAAAAATTTTTTATGCTGTGGAACTTTAGTCTAACATTAATTAGCTACTATATTATTTCATTTAATTAATCTCATTTTTTCCATCAAATATTTAATGTGTATATATTAATGAAATATAAATAAAAAAAAAAAAATAATTAATATAAAATAAAATTTAAGCAATAAAACAATATGAAATTATTTTAAAAAATTAATAATAAATTAAAAATCAAAAAAAATGCATATAACATATTTAAATTTAATTAATATTATGCTAAAAAATTTAGACAATAATTATTCAATAAATGATTTCAACGTTTATTATTATTCCAAGAATATTAAAAAAAAATATATACATTTAAAAAAATAATTAAGTAAAAAAAGAAATTTTAAAATATCATTGCATTAATTCGGTTTCAATCAATGATTATTTTTTTTTATTTTCGTATTTTTTTTCAAGAAATTTTCTTTTATTTTTTTATTTGTTTGTTTTTCTTTTTTTTTAGACAGATTTTATTTTTGATTCATTTTAATAAAATTAATACATGAAATGGAATTACTTTGAAATAAATTTTGTTTGTAACATTTACAACCATTGTGACTTTCAATATGATAAAATACTTTTGGATGTAACAAAGTAATATTTTTTAATTCGATCATTCCAATATGATAGATTAATGGCTTCGTTGTAATTTGTTGAAAAATTAATTTATCTTTTCGCATACATTGCTAAAAATAAAAATGTTTACTTTCATCAAATAATTATTAATTCCTATCATTTAGATGAATAATTTAACTTTATTAATATAAATAATAAACATTAATTATATTAATGAAGTAGAATTTTAAACATATCTTGAAAGAGATATAAATTAATTACATAAATTTTACAGAAGTAGTTTTAAAAATTAAAATTAATTCTATTATGATAAATTTATTAACTTATAAGCTAATTAAATATTTTTGGTTAATTATTATTAATACAATTATTTTAGAAGAGAGAGAAAAATTTTTTAAAACTTTATTTATAGCTAATGCAATTTGCACTCATTTATATGCGATTAAAAAAATTTTTTTTGTTTATTTTATTTTTTTTTTTTTTTGTTATGTGATTTAAAAAAAATTCTTGTTTTATTTAAAATTTTTATACTTTTAATAAGGTAAATTTTAATTTGAAAATTTTGATATGAAATTAGAAAATTAAAAAATGTACTTTATGTAAAATACCACCATCACAATGATGATCAATTGTAATGTATAACTTTGATGCATCAATATTTTTCATTTGAAACAAAAATTCATCCCAATGATTTGCCAAAGTACCATCATCTTTAAGTCCAGCTGTAAATAATTTTAAATTAATTATGCAAAAAAAAAAAAAAGAGCAAAAAAGAAAGAAAATTTCTAATTTCTTCCAAAAAATAAATCTTTTAGATTTTTTTTTTTGAGCTTAATTTAAGCTAACAACTTCAAATATATTATAAAATATGTAAACAAAATTCAAATAATAATAATAATTTAATTAAATTATTAAATAAATGATGCAATGTAATTTTTTATTATTTAAAATAAACAAAAACAAAAAAATTATTTAATATGCACTTGCATCATAAAGTTTTAATCGTGCACCTAGCACAGGTATACCACCACATGCTATTAATCCATGAATTCGCACTGTCTCACTAATTGACATTTTGATAATTGCAAATAATTGAAGAATCTTTAATTAAATAAACTTAAAATGTCCCATTCATAAATATTAATTAAAAGTGTTAGTATTTTTGGTATTATTTATTAATTTCTCAGTGATAATATTTTATGAGCTTTCATATGAATTAAATTGTTTTCTATAATTAGTAATTCTGAAATTAATGAACCTGAAGAATTTGAAGCATACAACCGCTTAGTTGCATTTCAAAACGAATCGATGAATAATTTCCTTTTTCTCTTTGAATTGATATGAAATTCAGATCTAATCAATGTATCGATCATTTCTTCTTTTTAAACTTATGAACGGTATTTTACTTGTAAATGCTGCATTATTTACTATACATTTTATATCATTTAATGAGCATAAAATACAGTATTTTTAAAATTTCTCATAGTATCACTAATTAATTAAAATTTTCCATAAAATCAATAAATCTGTACGTTTTTAAGCGTTTGGTATAAATTGCGAAGAAAAAAAAATCTGAATGATAATACAAGCAATACAAAACATCTCATAAAATCCTTCTATAACCTGAGATAACATTGTTTTTAAATTATACAGAGTAAAAAATTATAATTCTCAGAGAGAGAGAGAGAGACGAAGAGAGGGAGCTAAACAAGTTTAGGGATGATTAAAGACGAAAAAACAAGTGACAGAATAAGGTAGAAGGAAAGAAGCAAATAATTTAAAACAAGAAGGTAGCAATGTATGTTACTCACAGTAACTAGACAGCCTATCCTTTATAAATTTACACCAAAAAGAGTTAAACAATAAACGTACAAATTAGAAGGTAAAGTTATATCTAAGAATGAAAAATTATTAATAAGCGATAAAATCATTCTTTACAAGTTCTTCCGCTGCGTGATGTTTTTGGAGTTTCGCTAGCTTCTCGTGAAGCATTGTCAGATGCTTTCTCTTTACCAGGCTCTTCCGAATTTATAGGAGTGACACGTGGGCTTGAAAATCTTGAACGTTCAAATTTAGCCTGCAAATCCAAACAATATTAATTTAGAAATGTAATATTTCATAAATTTCCAATATGAATCAATCTTAAAAACAATCGGACTTATAAAATTATGAATGAATCGATAAAAAACATAAATGTATATTGAGAATAATAAATTTTAATTTCTTTTTTTTTTTACCAAAATTATAGAATTACAAAAAATGTAAATAATGAAATGCAAACCTCTTCTGCTGCAAATGCAGCACTCCTTCGAGTCATATGTGTTGTACCTCGAACAAATAATACATCTTTTTGCAGCATCTGTAAAAGAAAAAAAGAAAATTTAAACATTTAAACATTACAATAATATATTAGAAAAGTATAAAGAGCAGAAAAATTTTATTTTATTGGAAACTCCTCAAAGCACAAAAGCAAAATTTCATATAACTCTAATTAATAAGATTAACATTTCATAAGCAAAGGAAAAAAAAAAAGAAACTGAAATACCTTCAGTGAGCTCAACGTATCAACAGCCATTTCTTTTGCATAATGATTTACATCATGACCTGTACTATTGAACATTACTGCATTTGCAAACATTAGTAGTACATTCCGCTTAAAATCACTCATTCCTGACAGATTACCACCATCTAGCTGTTTCTTTAACGTGCTCAAATCCATACGACTGGAATCTTTCCTTTTAGAAAAATGTTTTCAAAATTCATAATTATGAATGATAACTCCTATGCCCAAAAAGCGAATAAATTAGAAAAAATTTTGAAAATTTACTGATTAACATTTGAAATCGACTCAAATTACTTTCACTTTTAACAATTATCCTATCAGCATCACTGTTGTGATAACGATTAGCATAGCTCAACGATTAATATAAGTGAACAAATAGAAGCTGTTTATTAAATAAAGCGATGTTAAGATTTGAGATTTTTTAAAATTTCAACAAATGCAAATACTTTTTGCGACGTAAAATACACAACCAATAGATTATTATTACTTCATCGGAGCGAATAAAAGTACCTTTTAACGATTTTTGAGTAACCTCGAGCATCTCGATCAGATACAGGATGGGCAAAAATAGCAGCATGTCGATGACTGGAAACCATTCGCCATGCAGTAACCATAAGAGCTTTCTGTTCTACATCACCATCAGTTGAACCACCCTTAAACAAATGAAATTATTCATCAATAATATGAATAAATGTAAATAATGTGTGATAGGATTTATCGGTAATGATTATGCTCAAATCAGGTAATTGCGGTAAATCCGACGTTAATGATTATGTTCAAAAGCAAATAATTACGATAAATCCGATAGAAAAATAGTTGCAAATGATGTAACAGAGCATAAAGATATGATATATATTAACTGAACTGTCACAATCATCATTCTATACATTGTTCCATTATTTTAAAAAAGAACCAACAGTCCAATATCCAGAAAATAATGTAAATTTTGATCAAAAATGAATTAAAATTTAGTAAGTCAAACACCATTATTTCTCTCCAGATTGGATTCCAGTAAAAATTACATTTAAAATTAATTCCACAAATAATCTCAGTAAAGTTTTAGTAAAATCCCGATTATCGATTCAAATTACTCCTGTGTACAAATAGTTCATTATTAGTAATTACTAATCATCGAAAAAAAAAAATAAGAAATAAAGTATGTTTTGAATTACACATTAAATCATATCTCAAGACCATGAAAACCATACTCTTCTTGTTTGTCGACGACTTGAACGTGTTACAACTGTACTTCTTTTTGGCGATCTAACTGAAGAAGTTTCTGAAGATGTTCCTAAAACTAACGAAAATCTTCGGCATAGCACTTTATATAATAAATTCTGATATGAAATAACGAAGAAAAATAAAACATGCTTTAATATGCGATCGTTTTTATGAGGACTTCAATATTTTCAACAATTTGAATAGATATTTTGAGAAGAAAAGTCATCAATAATGAAATTTAAACACTACCTGATTTCAATTTCTCACCAGTAGAAACAACCACTTTTGATGTTCGACTTCTTGTGCGTAAATCGACAAGTTTTTTATCATCATCTGATTCACCCTCCACAGCATGTTTCACCTTACAATATATTAATTTAGAATATGAGAAAAATTGCAAAGAACCAAGAAAAAAGGGAAAAGCACGCATAAATAGTACATATAACTCTGATGAAACACAAATCAACTTGTTTTAATTAAAAAAAAAAAAGAGAAGATACTATCAGCCAAGAAAGCCATTTAACAGTTGGCTGTAAAAAACAAAGAATGACTGTAACTTAATAGGAAGATAAAAAAATTACACGAATACGTACTTCTTTTTCAGGTTCTGGACTTGATTGCAACTCAATGTTGCTTTCGATTCGATATTTACCATCCTTTTTCTCAGCATTTTCAACATCTTTGCTGGACAATCGCCTAAAATTTATAGTGTTCAAAGGATTGCATTCCTCCTATTACATATCCAACAACAATAAATCATGTTTATTTTTGATAATTGAAACAAATAATTTATGCTAAAAATTATTTCATACCGTCGTTTAGCAGGTGATGCCTTCACTTCTTCCTCATTATTACTAACAATTTCCAACTTCGTCGTTCGCTTTCGTCTTCCTGTTTGTGCAGGTACTACACATGCACTAGCTTCAATCTCAACCTTTGCCTGACATCTTTCTGATCGTCTAGAAATATTCTCATCAAAGCTGGTTATCATTTAGTAAGTTGAATTTGCAGGAGTCTATTAAACATAGAATTTATATCCATCTAATAGTCGCCTAATTTATATCTATCTAATGATCTGTTTTCGTTTTCTTAACCTGAGATAAGATTCACGCAAGCCAACCTAAAATTTCATCAAGAAAACCACAACTGCGATCAATGTGAGTTGGCTCACAATCATTTAATACTATTAAATCTTCAACATACCGTAATTTTCCTTCATCTTCTTCCTCCACAACATTTTTCTCCTCTTTGCTGATAAAATCTGATGTTTTTGGACTTTTCATGGAAATGGGGGAAGCAGCAGAAAAACGACGATTTCCTAAAAATAAGTATAAAAAATTTATTCCCAATACAAAAAAGTCTGAGATAGAACGAAGAATATTTTTTTAAAAAAAACCAACATTCAGAGATTCTGAAAAAAAAAAAAATAACTGAAGAAAAAAAAAATATATATATATATATATATATATGCATTACTTAAGGAATGTTCATGCTGCACTGGTAATGCTATTTCACTATCCATGTTATTTGAGCTACCCGATGACCGCGTAACAATTTTTTGAGTTCGTCTTGTTTTCACCTAAAAAAAAATATTTAATCGATATTTTTCCCTTAACCTCTAGAAGAACAATATTTAAATTGCGTGAAACAATTTAACTTCATAATTCACTGAGTGGCATAATCTAAGACTATTAAGATAATGAATATCACACTAAGTTTAAAGAAAAAGTGATACCGTTTCTTTCTTCTCAACTATCTCTTCCACCGTTGAGCTCATTCCTTCCTCCATTTCATTTTCGATGGTAACACAAGGTAATTTAGCCTTTAAAAAAAGCGAATTAGAAAACATCATCATAAGTAAAAACATTCGGTTCAAAAACACTAATGCTATGGATGGTTTTAAAAAAAGAGCAGAGAAAACTGCGCATATCAAATAACCATAACATCTAAACAGGAAGAATCTGACCCAGCATCTAATTAAAATAAAAAAAGACCTCATCTGGTGTCCCTGATGTAGCAGTCTGAATTTCGTCAGTATTACTTCTCGAGGGTGACTTAAGGATCAACTCACTTGATACTGACTGCGATGTAAAGCTTTCGGAGTTTTCTGTTGTTTCTAAATATAATATAAGTTTTCTGTTCTAAATTTCAAATTGTTAAAAAATCAATGACATACCTTACTTTTCCTAGAAACTAACTGAAGAGGAAAAATAGTATGATAGAGATATAAGAAGATTTAATTTTTTTTTTTCAGTTCGCCTTAGTTTACTTCTACACTTTCCTTGATAAAAAAAATGCCATTGCACTTGTCCTTGTTAAATATTTCTATATTCTTCTTAAACGGTATTTAAAATAAATCTTTGAGAACTTCTCTGACCTATATTAAATCTTAATTAGGCTTAAAAAGAACTGAAAATATACCGGTTTGACAGGATGATGCATTATTTCCAGTCAGTGATTGTGGACGTGAGCTAACTGATTGTGTTCGTAATCTTCCTTGAGTAGATGATAATATTTCGGCACCATCTGAAGATTCGCTAGCCAACATTTCCGAAGCACTTGGATGCTGTGGACTGCTGATCTTCCTGGATAAGGGAGATCCAGAAGTGGTATTAACAACAGACGATGCTTTTGTCTGTGAAGTTATCTGTGGTTGGAAGGAAAGGCCTTCGAAAAGAGGCTTAATTGGAGAAAATGGTGCCTCATTGGCGGACGATTGGGATGGATGAGACGGTGGTATGATGATCTTCAACTGTGGATATTTAATTGGCTGAAATCTCATACAATTTAACGAAAGAACCACTGAACCATTATTCCCAAGCACTTTAACTGAATAGTTGGGTACAATAAAATGCAACTTACATTTGTTTCGTGAAGGATTAGATATTCTTTTAAATTTTTTGTACCAATTTCAATTTCCTTTTGAACGACTTCTTGATCACGCTAAAACAAAACTTACTACGAGTTATAGGATTTTTTAAGAGTTTCAAAGCGAAAAACAAATCCAATTTACACAATACAATCCCAAGTAGTATTTTCATTGTAAAATTCCATTTGACATAGAAACTTTTTAGAAGAGAAAGGGGGATCGTAAACCCCCCCTTTCTCTTCTTTGCTATACTTTAGAAACTGTTGGAAAACATACAAGCCACTATTACAAAGAATGAAATCCTAAGCAAAGAACTGAGGAATCGTTTATCCTAAATAAACAGGACTCATTCATACCATTAATAACAAATACATACCGTACTATCTTCTTCGCGAGCTTCCTCCAATAATTTTTCTACTTCTTTATCTGTTAAATCACTATCAGATGAGAATAAACGATTAAAAAGATCTGCTTTCTGACGTAATTTCACCAAAAGTAGCTCTTCCTCTTGTGCTTTCTTGATTTTTAACTGCAATGCTAATGTAACATATCAGAAAGTTCAAGAATTGTTGAAATAAACAAGTACCACGCTTCCCGTAATAAGAATTATCTAAAGAAACTTATTTAAACTAATATAATACTTAGGTTCGATCATTTCTTCTCATCCTTTTTTCGGTTAAATCTAATATGTAAGTCCATCGATAAGCAAGAGACGATTTTTTAACTTTAGAAGTTTTTTGAGGGAAATCAGGATGACTATATTAAATAATAAATTTACATATTTACTTAAATGATTAGAAGACAGAAGATATTGTAAGAGATAAAAGAAATTGTAAAAATTTACCTCTTTCTTTAAATAAACCGTCCAAGCATGAATGAGTTCTTTTCGGGAATACTTTTCACCTGGTTTTCGTAGGAAATGCTCTGGATGACCACTTGACATAACTCGTTCAAATTCATCTTTACACATCTGAAAAGTGCGTTACTGATAAAGACGGATGAGAATGAAGCATTTTAAAGCGCTACTGAATTCAACAGGAATAAATACTGTTCAATCTAAGCCAAGATTTCATAATCTGCATGACTAGAAATTTTAAACTATGATAGTACTGGGCTAATAGTTATTGGGCTAGATTAAATGATTTGATATATAAAACATTATGATTTCAAATTTGTACAAAAAAATTCAAATATCAATAAAAGAAATCATATCAATAATTGTATATCTCTCTTCCTCTTTCCCCACTCAAAAAAAAAAATATTGAATGGGAAAAAATAATTTATTTTCTGAAATATTTCACAAAATTCCAACTTTTTCTGTAAAAAAACCAGCCGGTCTTTCATCACCAAAGTTTTCCACAAGTTTCTTGATGCGCACAAGCCTGAAAATGACTTATTGTAATACAATAATATATGTAATCACTCTCTCTCCCTTTCCAATTTACGATGTTAGCAACTAGAACCATCTTTTCTTTAATGCAGTCCAAAATAATAGCATAAGCTATAATTATGAAATTCTGAATATATAAAATTCAAAGCAGCCAACCAAGGAGACAGTTACCTACTAAAGTAACATATGAATTGAAAAACATGGCTTTTGCATGACCATAATTTTAACTCAATGCTTGTAGTTCACTAATGTGAGTAAATGACAGTCTTTTGGAAACATAAACAACCGTGAAAATCTTGAGAAAGACCATTTTAAGATAGCGACAATCGCACTACATACTCCCTGACAGTCAATCTCTGCTATGAATCGACGTAAAATTCACGTATATACATCCAGTGTATAATTTATGTGCGTATGTCTAATGTTATACATGATAAAAATTAATTTATAAAAAACATAGCAAGAAATTACCAATCATCTTCCGTCTCCATAAGTTCGAAAAGTTGTAGCGTTTCTTCATGCTTCCAACTGAGTGATATACTTGGATATTTCATCCTTATGTTAAACCTGCAAAATTTCCTCCCAATGTTATTGAAGGAATGGAAAGAAATAGACAGAGAAAGAGGCACAGAGAGAGAGTCTACGTGTAACTCACTTACATGTTTTCAACAACAAAAAACAGCAACGTTTTCTATTTTACTATTCTAAATCACTGCTGTTAATTCATACATCTTAATGTCTTTCAAATTTCTCGATCTCTAGTAATATTCAAGAATTCACAAGAACAACCAATAAAACGACATTTCAGAAAAGCAATGGTCCGTCGTTTGCAAGACATGTTGCATTTTAGCTATGTGCCACGAATAATGAAACGGAATATCTCAAGTCAAGTCATTTCTTCATTTCTGCATCTTGGAATTATTAATCCAGGAAATTGTCAACTTTTGAAATTACTTAAGTTTTTGAATTACTGAGTTACCTAAATTTTCCTCGTAACATTCGGCAAAGTATTGCTATAACTCATATATACAGCAAAAATTTACGTACGTAACGTAAAAATCATTTACAAGACAGCTAAGTTAACGGAATATACAATTAGAGCACAAATCGATTGAATTGTTGACGAAAAAAAGCTAAAAAAAAATTTGCATACTTTTATTAATATCTATAATAAAATATAACCTTTAAATTCTTTTAGTTTAATTTATATTTGTACTGCTATTGGGTGACATTGAATGTTAGTTCTCTAATATATCTTTTATATCAGTATTATTTAAGTAATATACTATGAATTAATTACACGTATTATATCAGTAATATCAGTTGAAGTATTATCAGTCTTCCCATCCAGTTATTAGTATTAGTCTTATCTGATAATATCACTCTCCTTAATCAATTATCAGTTTTGTTATCCTTATGTGATAATACTATGAATTAATTATATGTTTCAAAGAAGAAAATGGCATGAAATTATGAGTAACGAGTAAATATTAAGTAATAAATGAGAATTTGTGATAGCAGTATAGCAGATGATGAAATTAAATATTGATTTCTTTTTTCTTTCTTTTTTTTTTTTTTTTTTTCTTTTTTTGGTAGTTTTATGAATGATAATAATTCTGATAACACTTTAATTTTTAACTCTATTTGTTCTTGTGTTCATGTTTACTTTTATAAAATGTTTAATTTCTTTTTAATTTTTAAATAGACATTCAAAATTTAGTTTTTAAATTGGATTAGAATCTTCATTTTTTTAGCGTACCAATAAATTAATCAAAATTTAATAATTCGATAATAAAGTTTTGTTTTGTTTTTTTTTTTTTTTTTTTTTAAATATTGCCTGGCATTGGATTTTTCTTTGGAATATGCGTATGGAGAGTCCTCTTTTTTAGTAAACATACTGATTTCGTTTTTTTTTTTTTTTGTAGTTTCCTTTTTAGTAAAAAACCTCATTTTTTTTCCCTTCCAATGTGCAATTAAATTTTTTTTAAACTTACACTTTTTTTTTTGATCAAATAAATTGATGCATTTGATTATTCCATTTAAATACATACATACGTCCAATAGTAATAGTAATAATTAACAATAATAATAATAATAATAATAATAATAATAATAATAATAATAATAATAATAATAATAATAATAATAATAATAATAACAATAATAATAATAATAATAATAATAATAATAATAATAAAATAATATTAACTGTAACAATAATAATAACAACAATAGCAATAATAATGATAAATAATAATAAGAATAGCAGTAATAACGATTAATAATAACAACCCTAATAGCAACAATAATGATTAATAATAATAGCAACAATTATAATAATAGCAATAGTAATAATAATAATCAGTGATAATAATAGCAATAATAAGCAATAATAATAATAATAATAGTAAGTAATAATGATAATAACAACGGTAATGATAATGATAATAGGAATAATATATTAAAGCAAATGATAATTTCTTCGATAGATCGATTATGGGTGATAAATATGAACTAATTGATCAAAATGATCCTAACCAGTTGATACCAGCAGCACCAAATGCTCCACCAGGATCACCATCTGCTGATACAACACCATTACCGGATCCAGAAGCTGAACTATTAAAGAGTGCTGCTACCGATCTTTACACCAAAAAAATGGAATCTGGAAGTAAGCTTAATTTTTTTTCCTCTTTATTAATACTTTATTGTTTTAATGTTATTTCATGACAATGGAAAAAAAATTTTCAAAAAAAAATAAATAGTTTGCTGATAACATATCATTTAGTCTAACATTTACACTTAAATATATTTACATTATTTACAAAAATAAACAAAAAATAAAAAGGAAACTTACATATGACATAATACAATTATGGCCAGTTTTTTATTCTTTCGTAAAATTTTTATAAGCATATTGAAATTTAAAAAGAAAAATTATTAAAAAAAGAAAACCAATTTTTCTAACTTATTATTATTATTATTACTAATATTATTATTATTATTATTATTATTATTATTATTATTATTATTATTATTATTATTATTACTAATATTATTAGTTGCATTTAAGACGAATTATAAATTTCAGATAAAAAATCAAAAGAGATGACAAAAAAATTAATTATAGTATATGTTGGTGCTATAATGTTAAATATTATTGTATTTTGTATTGGTATAGCTATTGGCTACTATGCTTTATAAAAATATAAACAACTTTTGCATAGGTTACTTGTTGAATTTCATATTTGTTTTCGAATAAATTTAATAGAAAAATATAATTTTTTATAATATAATTTTAATTTTTTAATACAATTTTTTATTTTTTATTTTTGGAAAGAAAAAAATTATTTTAAAATTCAGAAAATTTCATTAAATTAACCAACAATGGCAATAAAAGATTACGAAAAAATCTTTTCCTTTATTTTCCTTTAAACTAAATTGATAAATGAAGTATTATGATAGAATTTTAGGCGAAAATTTTTGATCTTATATCAATTTTTATGATTAATTCTATTTTTCCCTCTTTTTTTCTCCTTTTTTTTTTTTTTTTATTTGTTTTTTTATCCTTTTCAATGAAAAATAAGTTTTTTTTTGCTTTTTTTTAGTTTTTATACAAATTAGAATATAAGAAATATTGGCAAAAACAAAAAAAAAAAACGAACAGTGAATATTTCCTGTAATCATATCAAACTTATCAGTGAAATGTATGCATATTGTTATCGATATACTGGTGAAGGTTTTTTATAGAAATATAATATGTAGTAATAATTTTATCATTGATAATATTTATCAATAATAGTAATGATTTTATCATTAATAATATTTATCAATGATAATTAAATCAACGTATATGTTTTGAAATGACAATGAAAAGTAATTAAATTTTATCACTAACAATTATTCTACTTACATTAAAATTTAATTGAAATAACAGAACTAATAATGTATCACTTAAATATAACTTAAAATATAAGCAAAAAGAATGAATGTGAAAAATGATGTGTAAATAAATGAATGAGATAAATTGTTGTTTTAGAGAAAAGGTCCTCGAAAATAATAATTTAAAAATTAAATTAGGCTAAGCTGAAAAAAAATCACTTGTATTAAATGTTGATATTATTTTTGATCAAAGTTTAAGTAAGTGAAATGAACGTTTAGTCAATAATTGATTTAATATTTCGTGTAATCATTTGTAAAATTAAGAATTAAAGTAATTAAAATATTATCAATTAATCAATATACTGAAGCAAAAGAAAGTAAATGATAAATAATAAATGCAAGTTTGATATGAATTTTATGATATTTGTTAAATTACAATCAGCTTTATGGGATTTTTGATAATGCTAATACTCATATTCACTCATAAATAATGTCACATTAATGTCACATTGAATAAGGAAAAAGAAAATGTTGGAAAGATTTTAGTATTCCAATATTATAATTTAAAAAAATAAAAGGACAAAAGGTTCGAAATTTTATAATTTTTTAAGCTGATTAATTAATTCAGAAATGAAATTTTATAGACTAAAAATTTTGTATGCTTTTGATCATTTTGTATTCTCAAAATAATAAACAAAATGAAAACATACGATTAGATTATGGTTTAAAAACAAGTATGATTTAATTAAATTAAATATTTGCTCTCAGCAAATTATGTTAGCAATGTTTTTTTGATATCGCTAAAATATTTTGTAGTGAAGAATTCAAACTTGGGTCAATTGATTTAATCAATAAGCAAACTTGATTTAATATTTATTTCCTGATTAAAATGAAATTCATAATTTTTTATTTATTGATATGATTAATTTAATAGTGTTTACGATGCTTAATTATTAATGATACATAATTTAGAATTTTTTAAAATAATACTTAGAAAATGAAATTCTGAATTCTATTAATAAAATTTGTTATTTTTTCCCTAAATTGTTAATTAATTGTCTTAATTACTGTTAAGTAATTTAATGCTTTTATCAATTGAAATTTGTTATTTATCAATAAATGCTTATGTAGAAATTATTGTTAATTAATTAGTAATCGACTTAATTAAAACTTCTAAAAATGAAATAATAATAATTTAATACAAAATTTAACTTGAAATGATTAAAAAATTTAACTTGAAATCCAAAAAAAAAAAAGTGGATTTGGCCAAAATATTATTGCTTGGCCTAGGATTGTTCAAATAATGAATGAAATAATAAGAACTTAGTGTAAAAATTCAACTTGAAATGATTAATTAAATAATTCAAAAAATAAAATTCAAAAAAAAAAGAAAAAAAATTAAATTTGATCAAAATATTATTACTTTGTCCTTAGAAACATTGAAATATAATAAATGAATTAATTATATATCAGCGTGAAATCATTTTGTTTATTTATTTTATTTTTTAAATTTAATTCTTCTTTATTTGTTGACCATGAATATTTTTAGCACCGTCTCGCAGCAATTCAATTTCATCCTTTGCGCCAACATTTACTTTTGGCGCTGTTATCTATGCAAAAAAGAAAAAAAAAATTCGCTATTAAAATAAAAACATTTGAAAATAAAAAAATTTTTTTTTTTAAATTATTAATAATTTTTTTTTTCAAAGTCTTTGAATTAAAAATAACAACAACAAATATATATAATGAAATATTTTTATGACAAAAAAAAGTAGTAAATTAAAAATGTCTTTTTTTAATGAAAATTCAAAAAAACTTTTTTTTTTGAATTTTTAATTTATAATTTCTAATTTCTTAGTTTCTATTAAACATATGAATAAAAAAAAAACAATCAAATGATTTCCTTTTTTTTTCTAAAGAAATATTTTATATTTTGTTAATATATTATTAACAAAATAAATATATCCTTAACCGATGCTTATTTGTGGTACCAAACAAAATTTCAGACTTTATTTAGCGAATTTAAAAAAAAAAGTAAAAAATAAAATATAATGGTATTGAAAGAATAATCTATTACTAATTGAATTTTGTTTTTAAAAGAAATAAAAATAGTATTGAGGAGAATTAAATTTTATTTTTTAAAAAAAGATAAGAATAGTAAAGCAAATGAACCACTACCTAAACAAATGATTTAAAATTATTATAAAATTCATTTATTTATTTAAAATTATTATAAAATTAATTTGTTTTTTTTTGATGAATAACCACTCTTTGTAATTTGTCAAATATAAATTAATTCATTGAAATATTGCTAACATTCTATCAAAATACATTAATTAATAAAATAATTAATATAGTTTTTCTCTTTTTTTTTTAGTATACTATAAAATAAAAACTTCTCAATAATTATTAAAAAAATTTTTTTTAATGAAATTAAATTAAATTAAATACCGATGAAGGTGATGGTGGTGGACATGTTGGTAATTGATTTTCTGCTTTATCTTCTGCAATTATTTTTACATGAGCTTGATGGCTACCACCATGCGACAAAATTCCTTTCTTCTGCGACATTCTATAAAATTTATTTGTTATTATTTTATTATTTTAAAAAATTTTTTTACATTATTAAATTTTACATGAATTATACTTTTTCTACACTGTTTTTTCAATCTATCATATATTTTACTTTTTTTTTTTCAAATTTTAACAAATTTAGTGATTTAACTTAACTAGCAAATAGATAATTTAAATATTAATTAACTAACTAATTGGTATTAAGTAATTAATTATTAAACAAATAATTATAGTTAATTAGATAGCTAATTAATTAGATAACTTAAATAGTTTTTAAAAAGGGGCTGGATAACTTAAAAAAGAAGCAATTAGATAACTTAAATAGTAGCAATTAGTTTAAGTAATAAATTATATTAGATTCAAATTAACTTTATTAGTAAGTTTGTTTTCAAAACTTTTAATACATTTTAGCATAATATTAAGTAATTTATTTGCATCTACTTTAATTTTAATTTTTCAACTATTTTCAACTCATTCACTACTTATCAATTTACTCTTTTTATTTGAACCTTATATGCTTACAATCCTCAAATTCATAAATTAATAAATTAAAAAAAAAGAACGAACGAAATATTTGAATTAAATTTTAATATAATCATTGAATGATGATGAAGAAAAAAATGGTCGGGTTAAAGGTCAACAAATATTAATAAAATTAATTTAATTAACTTTATTTATGGCATTAATAAATTTTTGAGAAAGTAGAAAGTTATCAGAAACCTATCAGTTTATTATACTTTTATACAAAATGATTTAATACTAATTTCATTTGCTAAAAAAATAATTTTGATATGCAAAATAATTTCTTTTTTCCTCTCTCTCTCTCTCTCTTTCCCTCTCTCTCACATTAGTTAATAAAATATAAAATTAAATTTTCATTTCTAATACGATAACTGTTTAAAATGGATAATATTAATTATTTAAGTATATTTACAAATTTCATTCATAGAATACGGTGACATTAAGTATATTTCATTAATGTATCATTGTAAGGAGAGAAGACGATCTGAATCAGATTCAGTAAGACGAAAGTATGATTATAATTATCATTATTATCAATTATGTTATCATCAATTTATTTTATCATTATTAAATTTTGATTAATTACATTACCATCATTGAGTATTGATTATCATTATCAGTAGTTACTACTTTTTTATGTTCATTTATTTTCCACAATTACATAAATAAATGATTTTTTTTTTATGATAAAAAAACAAAGACGATTTACTGATAACATTCGTATCATTTATCAATTATGCTAATAAAATCAATGATAATATTAGCTAATCTAATTTAGTGGTTATGAGCCAATAGCGCAATTTGATAGTTCACAAATACCGCCAGATTATTTGGTGCATGAAGCACATGATGGACGATTGGTATGATAAAATTATTAATTTATTTTAAAATTATTTCAAATATAAATATTGATAAAAATTAACAAATACATTTTAAATGTTCAAAATAATTTATTTAAATTATTTTAATTTAATTTTTATTTTTTTTACGATTCATTTTTGATTTACTTTTTCATTTCTTTCTTTTTTTTTTTTACTCTAATTTTTTCTTATGGACTTTTTGCGTTAGTAATATTCAAATTTTAAATTTAATTAATTATAATCGAAATATCAATTTTAGCGATAAACAAATTATTATTCATTTTTATTATCTGTAATTAAAATTTTTTAATTTCACTTTTTTATTTACAGATAAGTGATAGTTATGAAATTGAATGGCCAAAGCGTCCACAATTCGGTCAATATGCGGAAGAAAGCAGTGTAGTAAGAAATTTAATTAGTAAATTATTAAAAATTTAATTAAAAAAATTATTAAAAATTTAATTGGCAAATTATTAAAAATTTAATTAAAAAAATTATTAAAAATTTAATTAGCAAATTATTAACAAATTATTTATACAATTTTTTAACAATTTTTTTTTTTATAATTACCAAATTACTTTTTTATGGTTCTCTTAGGTTAATAATATTAAAATTTTTAATTTAATTTAATTAATCACAATTGAAAAATCAATTTTATTAGTAATCAAATTATTATTCATCTTCATTACCTGTAATTAAAAAATACTAAATGCGAATTTTTATTGTAATTAAAAAATGTTTCATTATTTAAAATATTGAATAAATTAACTTTTTATTACTCTTTTTTTTTTGGAAATTATTTAACAATTTAATTACACTTTAAAAAAAAAATTATATTTAAGTTAAAAATTTTTACAGGAAAAGCTTTCATCACCATATATTAAACAAACTAATAAGTATGATTATGGATCAGATGAAACGACAGCATACAGGTATGTTAATTAATTAAATTAATTAGTAACAAAAGAATAGATAAATGACAATTTTATAAAATTAGCAATAAATATTAATAAATGATTACTTCTAGTTCTAATAAACAATAATAATTATTCAATTATTAAGTTAATAAGTATTATATTATTATTTTTCTTTTCTTTATGTATTAAATATCCAATAAACATTGATTACTAACTATTATATTATTATTTTTTCATATATTAAATAACAATTAATGAATTTAAATTAAAGTGTAAAGAAAAAAGTCAAGCAAAAGAAAAAAAAAGAAAAGAAATGAAATAAATATTTGATTGAAATAATATTTACAATTATATTAATCAATTACTTAATTAGTTAATTAGTATAAGTTTTTTCTTTTTTGTTGAGGAACAAAGGACATCATCGAAAGACAAAAGGTCATATGCATAATTATTCAATTGAAAAGGTCAGATATGAAATTTAATTTTTGTCATTTTTAAAAATTTAAATTTGAAACAATCAAAAATATTGGATAAATTAGTATATATAATTGTATAAGTATCATTTATTACTTCGATTAATGCACTTTTTTTAAACATATTATTTTAGAATGAAACTGTTTTTTTTTATATTTTTTTTCAATTTATGTTTTTTTTTTGTTAATAAATTATTGTAAAAGGAAATAATAATCTTAGTAATTAATTTAATAAATATAATTTTTAATCATTTATTATTAGACAACGATTAATGAAGCAAAAAATGATGATGATGATAATCATTTTTTTGTTGGTAAGTAAATTTTTTTTTTTTTGAAGTTTAATAAAAAAAAAAATTTTTTTTTTATAAAATAAAAATACAATGTTTACGTCTTTCTTTTTTGAAATTATTTAACATCTATTTATTATAGATAAACTTTAAATATGATAATTTTTTTTTTAAATTATTACTTTATTTTCTTTTAATTAATTATTAAAAATATGTATATATTAAAATTTCATTATTTCAATCGATGGTCTTAAGAGTTCATTCAAATTATATACAAAGAATTTATCAAAATCTTTGTTACTTATGTTTTTTCTAATTATTTTTAAAATTTTTTCTTAAAATATCCTAAAATAATTTACTAATTAAAATAATCTACTAATTAGCAATTAATATTTTTCAAAAATTCATCGTTTTTCCATTAATGATTAACTAAATTGCATTTAAAATTTTTGAAAAACAGAAAAAAGTAGCATAAAATTCTTTCTTAAAATATTCTACTAATTAACAATTTTATGTTTTTTAAATTTTATCAATTTTGTTTTAGCAATTTAATTAGCAATTTTATATTTTTTTTTTTAAAAATAATTGTTTATGAAAAAAAGAAATGAAATAAAATATTAATTTATTATTTATTTTTTTTTTAGCATTCTCACCATTTCTTCACTAATTGATTATTAGCTTAAATTATAATTTTCCAAACTGCTTTAATTCTAAATTCACATGAAATTCATCAGAATTGAAAAAAAAAAAGGAAAAAAAATTCTAATGAAATACTTTTTCCTCTTTTTTTTTTTTTTTTCATTTAGTTAATTATATTTAAATTTATTCCAAAAATTATTATACTTAAACTTTTAGTTTTATTTTTATATTTATTTCTTAAAAAAATAAAAAAAAATTTTTTAATATTTAGCTCTTTTTAATAACGTATGAAAAACAAAAAAGAAAACTAATTAAATTTAAATTCAAAATTAAAAATTTTATTTGTTAATCAGTGAGCAGTAATAAATTTTTGTAATAATAGCATCAAATGAAGAAGTTTTTTTTACTTAAATTTATAATAAATAATTTAATTTAAATTTCTCTATTACAAGCTAATTTTTTAGTACTAATTAAAATACGCAAAATTAAGACCTGAAATTGAAACCTTTTAATCAAAAATTAGAAATTAATTGAGGTGCACAAACAATTCATACAGTATCAAAATTACTTCGACAAAATGATTTTCGTCTTTATTATCAAATTCCATCCACAAAACAAAATGCAATTCCAATTCATATACCACTTTATTTAGCATATATGAGCACTGCTGGCAAGGTAATTAATTAATTGATTAATTAATTAAATAATTAATTAGTATTTTTTCTTGTAAAAAAATTTTAATTGGTGATAATAAAAAAATTAAATTTAAAACTAAATTAAATTTTGCCAATTCAAAATATTATTGAGAAAATAATTTCAAATAGAATTCCAAAATTAAAAGAAAATGACAACTAATTAAATTTTAACTTAGCAACTGAAAACTTAAATTATAAAAAATTAAAAAAAAAAATTGTAAATTTTAGATAATTCATTATTAAAAATAATTTTAAATAGAATTCTAAGATAAAAAAATCAAAAAAAAAAAAAGAAATAATTAATAAAATATTTTTCATTCTTTTCTAAACTAAACAAATAAATTTTAGAAATTTCATTATTAAAAATAATCTTTAATAGAATTATAAAATTAAAAAAAAAAAAAAAAAAGAGAGAAACAATAAATTAAATATTTTTTTTATCTTTTCTAAGCTAGACGAATAAATTTCTAAATTTATCATTATTGAAAATAATTTTAAATACAATTATATGCAAAAAAAAAAATTGAAAATCAATGAAATTTAATTCTTTCATTATCGAAAATAATTTTAAATAGAATTTATAAGATTAAAAATGAAAACAAATTAAATATTTTTCATCATTTTTCTAAATTTTAAATAAATAAATTTTGATAGATTTATCATTTTCCAATTGCTTGTACAACTGATGATAACACTGGTAGAAAGTCTTGGCGTGTATTATACGGTGATTCAAGACCATCAACATTTGCAACCTTATCAGCTTTAGTAAAATATCATAAAATTTATTCATATATGGATCCAAAAACAGGTGCCATTGATACATTTCCGGTTTGGAAAGGTGCTATAATTGATTTTGATGATGCTGATTAGAATGATAATAATTAATATGATATGATAAATTTTGATTAAATAAATATTAAAAAAAAAAATGATAATAAGTAATAGATATGACAAATATTGATTAATTAGATACTAAAAACAGTGATAAAAAATAATATATGTGATAAATATTGATTAAATAAATACTAGAAATAATGATAATAATTAATATGATATGATAAATTTTGATTAAATAAATATTAAAAAAAAAATGATAATAAGTAATAGATATGACAAATATTGATTAATTAGATACTAAAAACAGTGATAAAAAATAATATATGTGATAAATATTGATTAAATAAATACTAGAAATAATGATAATAATTAATATGATATGATAAATATTGATTAAATAAATATTAAAAAAATGATAATAAGTAATAGATATGACAAATATTGATTAATTAGATACTAAAAACAGTGAAAAATAATATATGTGATAAATATTGATTAAATAAATACTAGAAATAATGATAATAATTAATATGATATGATAAATTTTGATTAAATAAATATTAAAAAAAAAAATGATAATAAGTAATAGATATGACAAATATTGATTAATTAGATACTAAAAACAGTGATAAAAAATAATATATGTGATAAATATTGATTAAATAAATACTAGAAATAATGATAATAATTAATATGATATGATAAATATTGATTAAATAAATACTAGAAATAATGATAATAATTAATATGATATGATAAATATTGATTAAATAAATACTAGAAATAATGATAATAATTAATATGATATGATAAATATTGATTAAATAAATACTAGAAATAATGATAATAATTAATATGATATGATAAATATTGATTAAATAAATATTAAACAATTTAAAACAAGAAAAAAAAAGTTTTAATCAAAATGAAGTGAAATTGTAATAAATAAAAAGTGATGAATAAACCATTTTTATCATTTTTTTTTCCTAATTCAATTATCGTTTTTTAACTGATTAAATTCGCTATTTTTTACTATTTTTCTTTTTCTTTTTTGTTTAATTCTTTATTTATTTTTTTTTTAAATAAATGAATAAACAAAAAAAGTTTGGGAAGGTACTATAATAACTGATTTTGGTGATTAAAATGATAATGCATATACATCTGTGCTGATAAAAATATGATAAATATTGATTAAATTGATTAATTAATTAAACCATTTTTATCATTATCTTACGAATTGAACTAACATCTCTTTTTTTTTTGCAAATTAAATTTTCAAAAAATTTTACTGCAATTTTTTTTTTACCATTTATAGCAAATTTTTTTTCTTTCTTACTTTTTTTTGATTAATTTTTTTTCTTCCAAATCAATGATAATTTTGAAATAAAAACTTCTCTTTCCCTTTTTTGCTAGTTATTTTGAAAAAAATAACAATGGCTTTCAAAAAATTATAAAAAAATTGTACAAATGTTTTAATTTGAAAAAGAAAAAGATAATTCATAATTTAATGCTTTAAAGCTACAAATATTTAAAAGCATTTTTAAATTCTAAATTTAAATTTTAATAAGAAAAAAAAGTTTTAGAAAGACTTTTTTTTTTACAACTTTTATTAATAGTAAAAAATTTTTGATAATAAATCTAAAGAAAAAAGAAATCCTTTTTTATTAAAAAATCAAAAAATTTTTCAGTGTTATTCTTCCGCCTCAAAAACAGAAAAGAAAAAAAAAAAAAAACAAAAAATTTTTTCTTTCTTTTTAAAATTATCTTACATAGTTTTAAGCCAAATTTTAAAAGTTAACATTGTTGTTTACTGATATGATAAATTACACAAAAGTTCCTTTTTGTGAAACATTTTGATTTTTAAGAAAAAAAAAAAGAAATTTTTTTTTCCCAAATTCTTTCCAATCATGATAAATTACATTAGTGTTACTTACTTACTTACTTACTTTAAGACTAATATTGCACTGATTAGATCATTCAAAATTTGGTGCTTCATTCTCATTTTCTTTCTTCTTTTCTTCATCTTTTCTTATTGAATAACTGATAATGATAATAATATCATTTCCTTTCTAAGATAGAATAACTGATAATGATAATAATATCATTTTTTTTCTAAGATAGAATAACTGATAATGATAATAATATCACTTTTTTTCTAATATAGAATAACTGATAATGATAATAATATCATTTCCTTTCTAAGATAGAATAACTGATAATGATAATAATATCATTTTTTTTCTAATATAGAATAACTGATAATGATAATAACATCATTTTTTTTCTAATATAGAATAACTGATAATGATAATAACATCATTTTTTTTCTAATATAGAATAACTGATAATGATAATAATGTCATTTTTTTTCTAATATAGAATAACTGATAATGATAATAATATCATTTTCTCTCTATTGTATAACAACCGATAATAATAATAATAATATCCTCTTTTATGTAATAATTGATAATGTTATCATTTTTTCTCTTAAAATTACTGATAATGATAATAACCATTCATATCACTTGTTCAGTAAACTTTTATTCAATTTAAAAGAATTTCTAATAATGGAAAAAAAAAAAAGATTGTTCTTTTAGTTTTTTTAGTAAAAACATAAAATTTGTTAGTGAGAAATTTTCCACTTTATTTCCAATTCTTTATTTTTTATTATTTTATCATTTAAAAAGATGAAATGTATTGCTAATAAATGAACAAAATTTCTCACAAAAAAAAAAAAAAAAAAATCTTATTGAATAATGAAAAAGAGAGGGAGGGAATGAGAAAGAAAGTAAAATTAGGACTGATTTTTATGCCATTTTTTCTTTTTCAAAAAATAAAAATAAGGAAAAGGCTAATTTGGTTTTAGCAAATCATTTGACGTTGTTTGGGAATAAATTTAATAATGAAATTAATTATATTTTCGAGGAATGAATGAAAGGTGGGAAAAAATTGAGCTTTTGTTGCCCAGGTAACCAAATGAATACCTATTTGTAATTAATAATTAGTAGGAATTAATCTTCAATCTTTTAGTTTACTTTTACTGTTATATCATTCCATTCCATCTTATTTAGATTAATACTTCTCTTACAATAAATGATTTCAAATTTTCATTTAACCATTTCAAATTTTGAATATCTTAATCATTTAGTAGTAATATTATCAAATATTTCATTAATTAGCCATAATAATTACAAATAATTACTTAACTTTTGATTCTATTTGATTATTAATTTACTAAATTGCAGAAAATTAAATATTTTTTATATAGCAAATGAATATTGTATAAGTTTTTTTTTTTCAATTTTTTTTTTTTTTGTTAAAAAAGGTGCTAAAAAAAGAATATCTTTATTTTTATTTGAAAATATTTTTCATTTTTTTTTTCTTTTCTCTTTTGGAAAAAAGTAAAAAAGAAAGAAAAGAACAAATGAAAAGCATGAGAAATTCTTTTTTTTTATTATTTTATAATTTTGAAAGAATTTATTTTCCAAATTTATTTGAACATGAATGAAACAACTGTTAAATAGATTTGATTTATGATCACTTCCTAAAAATTAATTATAAAAATAGCAGATAAAGATTGATTAAAAATTGCTGGAAATTTTTCAATGATAATTAATGAAATAATTATGATATATATTTAAATTCAATCCATTGATTATTGAATAAAAATTTTTGAAGGAAATGCAAAAAAAGAAAAAATTAAATAATTTTTGAAAAGAACAAATAAAAAGCATTAAGAAATTCTTTTTTATTATTTCATCAATTATTATTTCATTAATTTTTTTTTTTCTATGAATTTTTTGGATAAAATTAAATTAGAACAAATAAAATTAATTTAGATCAATTTATAATTCAATTCAAATTAGTTTATAATTTTTTTTTTCTTTTTTTATATTTCAGATTAGTTTACGAATTTAATTGTTTACATGTATAGTGTGCTAACAAGTATAACTTAATAAATTTTATAAATATTTTAGAAAATACAAATACAAATTTATATATGTCAAATAATAATAATAATAATTAATATCAAATAGGTAGCACAGTTGTTGATTTTGAAATACAAAATCCTTTTAACAAATAAGCCATAAATCGTAAGCCACGTTCACCACCTGGAGCATAGCTAAGTACATACCTAAAATTTAAAAAAAAAAAAAAAAATCTTTGATGAATATTTAATAAAAAAGAAAAAATAAAAATTAAATGATGTCATTTTTTCATTTTCATTTTCAATTTTAATTGCAATAAAATGAATTAATTAAAAGTGAAAAAAAAAAAAACAGTTGAAATTGATTATTTTATTACTATACAAATTATTAGTAAAAAGTTGCATGATAATTAACAATTTCTAATTTAATAATAGAATCAATTTAATTTCTAATTTAATAATAAAAACATATCATTAATAATAATAAAAAAAAAAATCATAAGTTAATAATCACTTGGAATAAATTAATATTTGTCAATTTTATCTTTTTTTCTTTTTTTCGTCCCTCGTTCTTTCGTTTTTTTTTTTTTTTTTAAAAAATTATTATTTTCTATTCATTTTATTATTCAAATATTTAATAAAAATATTCTATGTTAAATTCAAACAATCTAAATAATTCCAATATTTTATTAATTTTTAAAAAAGAAAGAAAATCATACCATATAAGTGCTATTGATTGAAATATTGCGCATAATATTGTTATTAATGTATTCCGTAACTGAAATATATGATTATATGCTAAATTATTATACTACACGTGTTTACACGTAACGTAATAGATACGTCGTATTTTTACAAAATCAAAATTATTATTATTTTTATGATTATATGCTAAATTATTATACTACACGTGTTTACACGTAACGTAATAGATACGTCGTATTTTTACAAAATCAAAATTATTATTATTTTTATGATTATATGCTAAATTATTATACTACACGTGTTTACACGTAACGTAATAGATACGTCGTATTTTTACAAAATCAAAATTATTATTATTTTTATGATTATATGCTAAATTATTATACTACACGTGTTT